GGTGGACAAGCTTTTTAGCAGGTGGACAAGCTTTTTAGCAGGTGGACTAGCTTTAGCAGGTGGACAAGCTTCTTAGCAGGTGGACAAGCTTTTTAGCAGGTGGACAAGCTTTAGCAGGTGGACAAGCTTTTTAGCAGGTGGACTAGCTTTAGCAGGTGGACAAGCTTCTTAGCAGGTGGACAAGCTTTTTAGCAGGTGGACAAGCTTTAGCAGGTGGACAAGCAGGTTTTACTTCTACCCACATCCAGGTGATTCCATGTGTTTTCACAGGACGGCGCCCGCACGAAATGCGCCTGTGCGGGCGCGGCTGCAAAGACAGCAGGCAATCTCGGGAGTGGCCAGGTCTCGGAGTGAGGTGCGGGTCCTGGCACTTAAGACCAAGATGAACATACAGCCTGCAAATATCCCGATGTACTGGGGTGGGTACTTAGGGTCTACATTGCAGCACCTAGGGTCCTTCAACAGTAGTTGAGGGGCCCTGAAAAAGATTGCTTGGTAGAGGAACACCATCTTGCAGGGGCCATTGTCAGGGTCTATTGAGATATACTTGTATTCAGATCGATTCATACCCACGTTCACTTTAAGTGCTGCACACATAAATACGTACCAACTCCAGAATGCAAACATGTTTGGCTGTTGAAACGAGACAGGAGCAACGCCACCGAATCACCAACCTCCCCTACTCCGCAGGTGCAACACAAGAGGTTCCGCATCGTTCGGGCACGCGGAATGTTTAGGTTTTTTTTTGCACCAATGTCGGGTTTGAGACGGATTCACTATCCACAGCGGAATTTGTCATAACCTTATATTTCTTGACACCAAAGCCTATAGTGGTTATTCAAGCTGTTCTGTGCAGCGAATTCGGCACTTTTTACGTTGATGACGGGGCGCAGGCAGTGCCGCATGGACCCGGCCCAAAGTTGGCCCGGCGTGCGGCGGGCAAGGCGGCGGACGACGCGAGCAAAGGTGGCAAGGCCCGCTTCAGTCAAGTTCATGTTGGACCCAATTGGAGGGCAAGACCAAGCATCACGCACCTGAAACCTATTTCCCAGACGCTCCATGGGACTGCCATATATGCCGCCCCATTGACCCCCAAAACCACCCCTGGCCTGATTGGCATATATTCCCATAGTATTCCATATACAACCCAACTGGCAACTAGCATATTAGTATATTTCATAGTATTCCATATTCAACTAACACATGGAGTGTTTGGGTTGCGAAAACACATGGCACTGGCCATCGGCGAGACGAGACGACCGGTCCAAGAGGTTCTCAGACCGACACCGCCAGGCTGATGTGACCGCCAAGCCGGAGGTCACCGGTGGATGATGTGTTTTGGGATGCGGGGCGCAGACGAAAGCATCCGAAAGCCGTGCTCGAAGTGTTGGCAGTGCAAGCGATTCGTGTTCTACGAAATCGGGTCCATGGGTTTGGAGGACTACTTTCCCTCCAATCATGGAAGTGGATGGCATGTCACTCACCATTAAAGGCCACTTTCCTCTACAAACAGGGGGTTGTCCACTTTCATGTTTGTTGGAGGGAGGATTGTCAGATGAGTCTTGCTACCGGGTACCGGAAGGATGTTTACAATGTGTTCTCCAGACCCGCTGCCTCACTACCCTAAATCGGAAGGATGGTACTGGTTCTTCCAAGTGATCTTTCCATATCCTGGAGTTTGAATGCTTTAGGTCACTTGGGTTTGCCAGGGCCCAGTTAACGGCCATTTTGAAGAAGACTTGCGCCACATCAGTTCGCACTGCACCAGTTTGCACCCCCAGTTTGCATAAGGAACTGTTTTTTAGATTTGAACACCCCAATTTGAGGTACATACTGTGGTCGTGTGTTTGTGATTGTGTTTGTGGTTGTGTGTTTGTCAGTGGTTGTTGTGCTGTGTGTTTGTAGTTGTGCTGGTGTTGGTGCTGGTGCTGGTGCTG